GGGTTTAGGGTTTAGGGTTTAGGGTTTAGGGTTTAGGGTTTACGTGTGCTGTTGATTAATTCTTATATCCCCAGTGAGTTCCTCATATCTAATTTTATTAATATTTAAATTAAGAATAATATTATTTTTAAAAAAAAAAATTAGTGTTTAGGGTTTAGGGTTTAGGGTTTAGGGTTTAGGGTTTAGGGTTTAGGGTTTACGTGTGCTGTTGATTAATACGTATATCCCCAGTGAGTTCTTCATATCTAATTTTATTAATATTTAAATTAAGAATAATATTATTTTTAAAAAAAAAAATTAGTGTTTAGGGTTTAGGGTTTAGGGTTTAGGGTTTAGGGTTTAGGGTTTAGGGTTTACGTGTGCTGTTGATTAATACGTATATCTCCAGTGAGTTCCTCATATCTAATTTTATTAATATTTAAATTAAGAATAATATCTAGACAAATAAATAAAAAATTATTTATTTCTTCTTGTTGTGGATCTTTAAAGAAAGTATCTCCTAATTCAATTCCTCTTCTTTGTAATTCTTTTCTTATTTCTTCTATACTCATCCTATTATTACTGCTGCTGCTGCTGCTGCTGCTGCTGCTGTTGCTGTTGCTGCTGTTGCTGCTGCTGCTGCTGTGAGGGGGGACTGCCATAATACCACTGGTGGGGTCGGTGGAGAAAAATGATGTTACTCGTTGCTGCTGACGTAAGGGAGAGGATATACCACCATATATAGATAGGTGCTGCTGCTGCGGTGGTAGCTGCAATTGCTGCTGCAGCTGCTGCTGCTGCTGTTGCTGCAGTTGGGGAGATGCGCCTCCTCCTATACCCGTTTGCTGCAGGGATGTACCCCCCATAGATAGGAAAGTATATGAGGAAGCAGGACGAGGATATGGTAGTAGGCTAGGCTGCTGCTGCTGCTGCTGCTGCAGCTGCTGCTGCTGCAGAGACCCAACTCCAGCCATGGGAGATGGAGGTATTGCTGTTGTTGTTGCTGCTGCTGTTGTTGCTGCTGCTGCTGGTGTTGTTGCTGGTGGGGTTATTGTCCCCACATGTATAGAAGGGACACCAGGAGGGGCTAAGGAGGAGACCCCTCGTGTAGGTGGTGGTGCTGTTGTAATTGGATATAGAGATGACTGCGGTTGCTGCTGCTGCTGCTGCTGCTGTGTCTGCTGCTGCTGCTGCTGCTGCTGGGTAGGGTCAGCAAAGGAAGGATCCGTTGGCTGAGGAGGTAAATAGTCCGAGTGCTGCGGCGGCAGCAGCAGCTGCGGCTGCGCGCTGAGCCGGGCCATTCTCACAGCGATGGCACCGGCTGCTGCTGTTCTTGCTGCTGCTGCTGCTGTTGCTGTTGCTGCTGTTGCTGCTGCTGGGTAGATATAATCCCTGAAGGTTGAGCCCCTGCATGCAAATATAGACTGCGAAGGCTATGCCCCCCAGCCGTGAAGGCGGCAAAAGGGACGAGCAGCAGCAGCAGCAACAAATACTATCATTTGTTTCAAATAAAGAGCAGCAGCAGCAACAACAGCAGCAGCTGGGGGGGCAGCAGCACCACCTGGAGCAGCAGCAGCAGTTGGTGCCCCCCCCTGCGCCTTATGACCAAATTAGTAGACTGTATTAATAAAAGGAAATAAAATAATTAAAAAAGAAAATAAAAATAAAGAGGAGGTATTTACATTGAGGTGTACGGACAGCACTGTGTTGGGGTTGGTGGTACAGCAGCAGCAAGGGAGCGGGAAGCTGCGGTGTATGCGCAGGTAATTTTATTTTTTTTTGATGAAAAAAGACAAAAATAAAGACAATATTTTATTTAAAAAGATAAAATATAAACATAAACACAGAAAAATACCTCTATTTGCACCTTGGCTGCATGCAGCAGCTGCCGCAGCAGCAGCAACAAAGGCAAATAATAATATAAAGGGGGGGCCCCCTATTACCTAGGGGGCCCCCTGACGAGGATTCAGAGCAGCAAGGGTTCATTAGTACCCGTTATTACTTGAATATTTTTGTTTTTTATTTATTTTATTTACTTTTAATTACAATAATACCACTATTACCAAGGAAAGGCATACATATTCAGGCAGCAAGGGGGGGCCCCCACCCCTGCTGTACCCGAGGCCCCCCTACTTAGTATTAACCTCCTCCCCGTTAAGATCTTCCTTATCTTTGCGGCAATAAACCCTCGCAAGAATAACCGCATTTAGTGTTATTTATGATGCTCCTCTCCATGGCGGTTAGGGTTTAGGGTTTGGGGATTAGGGTTTAGGGTTTAGGGTCTAGGGTCTAGGGTCTAGGGTTTAGGGTTTGGGAACAACATCAAGTTGTAATGGAGGAGTCCGTCTTCATTAGTGATGCAGACAGCACGTTTTTTGAAGGGTCTTCTAGGGGGCCCCAAAGGGGGCCCCCCTAGGAGGCATAAGAGGGGGCCCCTGGTTGTCCTTGGTTACTTTAGGAGGTGTAAATGTTTTTTATGTTTTTTCTTCCTTTTTTTATTGCTCTCCCTGCATGCATATTTGGGGCTTTGCATGCGTCAGCAGCATTCTTTGGGGCTTTCTTCTTGGGGAGGGCCCCCACCAAGAGGGTGGGCCCCCGCCTTCTTATCGGGTACTTCATTCCAGGGGCCCTCCTCACATCTATATAAGGGTAGCATGGGGGCCCCCGTAAGTGAAGGAGGGTCCCCCAGCCCGAGGAGAGCTGGGGGCCCCCAGGTGGGGCCCCTCCTAGACTCTATGAGGGATACTGGTGACCTCCTGATGGGGCCCCCCAGTACCCACAGTGTTGCACGACACATCGCCAGAAAGTACTTGAAGGGGCCCCCGGGGGCCCCCCTGTTTGCTGGAGGTGATGGTAACCAATATGGAGGGGGACTAGGAGGGCCCATGGGCCCTCTTCCTGGTGTATCTGGTTCTAGTGGTGTAGAGGCAGCAGCTGCTGCAGTTGCTGCTGCTGAAGCAGCAGCACGATCTATAGAATTAGTTCCTGGTGCTGCTGCTGCTGCTGCATGCGGTATATCTAATCAATGCATGCGTACTATTGATCTATTTATTGATAGTAAATGCATAGAAGAAATAATCCCTAAAAAAGGAGACTCTCCTCTTGATAATAAAAGACCACCACCTAGAGGATGGCAAATATTACATGAAGGAAAGGTATACAATAATACACCCCACCTAAACCCTAAACCCTAAACCCTAAACCCTAAACCCTAATTTCGCAAAAAAAAAAAAAAAAAAAAAAAAAAAGGGAA